CATATTCTGGGAATCTGATGATTTCTCCCAGTAAGAAAAATCACACTTTTTTTTTTTTTAAAAAAAACAAACAAACAAACTATTGGGGATCTTAGGGATCATCTCCTCTAACTCACTTTACAGATAAGAAAAAAGACACCCAGGTTAAATAACCTATCCAATGTCACAAAATTTATTACTTAGAGACCATCTGGCTAGGGACCCTGACTCACAGGTCAAGGTGTTTTCTCACTGTAGCACTCTGCTTTTACTTCAGAACCTATTGAGGGTCTCATGTATAAATTAATACTTAAGCTTTTGTGAAGTGTTGAGGGTTCCTAAGGTCAGATGGCTCCACTGGCAGCCAGACACCATGCAGGCACCATGGCAGAAAGGCTGAGATGACAGATCCACTCAGCATGTTTGCCCTGTACTGCCCAAGTTTTCAAAAATAAAAACCCATGCCCCTGGGAGAACATTCCCTAGGAGAACTGATCCTGAACCAATGAGTAATATCTGTGTGAAAACTCACAGAGAGAGGAAGCTCTTTTAAGTTCAGACACAGTGTGGGAAATTGGTGACAGCTCACTCAGGTGGTATTTTTGAACTCATACTGAGTTTCATGACCTCAGCATAAATTAGGAACACAGAAGATGGAAGGAAACAAAACTACATAGACCAAAAACGAGAGCACAAGAAAGCTGGCAGATAAATGTCACTGAATTTACCTTCATCTGCGTGTGAAACAGGAAGACTCCATCTCTCTGGTTTTCTCCCTTGTCCCCACTCTCGACATTATGACTAATTGTAAAGGCCACACACTTGCAATAAAACCCCAAACACCAACACTGTCCTCATATCACCCAAAGAGAGTAGGGGCAAGATTGGGAGGAAAACACCTTACGAAAATAGCTAACAAGAAAAACATATTCTATGTTATAACAAACTGCACTTGTTTGGAACTCAAGAACGCTGTCTCTAAGAACTTCCCTCTGATGAAAATGATATAGATTATAATAAGAACAGATAGAGGAAAAACTACTCCTACTCTCTGAAAAGAAACAAACAAACCAGTATTGGACCCTGAGTAGGCACTAAAAAAAATTCTTGTTGATGATCGCCAAGCTTGCTACTCCATTTCAGCAGTAGATCTTAGCAGACAAGTAATCTTATTGAAAAACATAAAACCTAGGGTAAGGATAAATATTTACAGAAATCTTTACATAAATCTTTTTTTTTTTTTTTTTTGAGATGAAGTTTGCTCTTGTTGCCCAGGCTGCAGTTCAGTGGCGCGATCTCAGTTCACTGCAACTTCTGCCTCCCAGGTTCAAGTGATCCTCCTGCCTCAGCCTCCAGAGTAGCTGGGATTGCAGATGCCCATCACCAGCCTGGCTAATTTTTGCATTTTTAGTAAATACAGCATTTCACTGTGTTAGCCAGGCTGGTCTTGAGCTCCTGACCCCAAGTGATCTGCCTACCTTGCCCTCCCAAAGTGCTGGGATTACAGGCATAAGTCACTGTGCCTGGCCGAAATCTTTATAGGGGTAAATCTAGAGAAAACATTACAGGCTACATAGTGATCAGCTAAGAACAGTATTTGGTTAAAAAAAATGTACCAAAGCCAGCAGTACATCCCAGGATGCTAAGGAAGACAGAGAGGAGGGAAAGCTTATGAGAAAAGATAAGGAGCTTAGTACTTGCTGCTTTGTATGTGAGGAAGCAGACAGATCCCTAGTCAGTAATATATGGATAACTGCAGGAGACAATTTTGAGTGACTCAGGAGGAACTCAGAGATAAACATGTATGATTGCTGTGGGCTAGAAGTTTTTACCCACGCCTAGGGTAGCTATTGAATGAGCTATTATTCTGACATGTAACCACAGTTTAGAATCACAAGTCTAGAAGTAGTAACCAAGAAAGTAGCAGGAGGTAAACACTTTATAATACAGACAATTAAAATTGTTTTAATTGGCTCAGTCTTATCCTAGCCTAGAGAGGGATCTTTTGCGTTAGGCCAAGTTATGAGACTTAGGTGAGCTGAATTCATTGAACTCTCTTCTGCTTTCTAACACCACTTTTTTGTTCAGGTGTCTGATATTCATTTTTCTTGGCCCAATTCTGGGAAATGCAAAGACTTCTCCATGTTATAATAATTAATGAATGCAGGTCAGATTGCCACATGTGGTTAAGGCAATTTGAGAGCTATTTTCAAGTGTCTCAAAATGTCACTAACTTTCTTTTTTACTTAATACAGTTTTATAAACTGCAGTCAAATGTTGGTTTTTCCATTACATTAGCTATTTAGTAGGAGAAAGCCAATGTCATTAAGACACTGAATGGAGGTGATTTGCTGGGCAATGGCTCTTTGAGAATCGCTGCTGTTGTCATGAGCGGTCTGCCTTTTGATAACATTGTACCACGGCTTAGCCATTACTTGTCTAACAGAATTACCACTGGGAGTGAACCGGCCCCCAAGCAGCAGGGTGCTAGAGCTTATCACCCCCCAGTCCTATAAAGTCAGCCATCCCTGGATTAAGCTCTTTTTATTTTTTGACTGTTTAATGTCATGCATATCGTAATCAGCATTTTAATTCAGGATTTGGGCCTTCCGGCAGTTTTCCAAAGGGCACACATTTTGAAGACAACAAATTAATGAGTGTTCTTTTCTTCAGTCACTACAAGTTCTCTGTGCACTGAGAGAATATTTTTATTCTAGTGACCACGTTAATATTTAAGCCAATGCTATCCTATGGGTTGACGACGTAGAAGCCGAGGCAGACAGTGGGGCAGCCCTACTCATGCCTGAAGAAGGGCTGTGGGTTGGCAGTGATAAAGAGAAAGGAGAAATTGTGTGACATTGCCTTTAATTGAGACAATGTGTAACTCAATAATTCTACCTGAGAACAACTACACATTTTAGGGATCAGCACATTCATATCTCTATCCTTAGAATTATATTGAGTACTCAAAAGAAGGGGTATGGACTGCTAGTCTATAAAACTAACAAATATCGTAACTGTAAACCAATGAGATATGAACGTTGTTTAAATAAGTAGACAGTGTAAATCTCATTCAATGTATCTTGGCAAATGGTTTCGTGGAAGTTTATAAAAGTATACATCTATCGCAGTCAGTGGCATTTCTGATTTAATTCTGTAAAGAAATGCTTGACTACTGGGTTAGGGTTGTACCATTACTGCCAAGTTACAAAAAAATTAAATTCTAAAGCCAAGAATGTTTTTTTGTTTTTAAGAAAGAGGGAAACAGAACACAGAATCATATTTGCTGTGTCTGGGTAAAGAAACACTAAGACACACTGGGGGATGGGAGTATTAGAATAGGGAGGGGTTGAGGAAGAGGAATGAGAGTGAGGATTCTTTTGCCGTGTATTTTTTTTATTATAAGTTGGCCTTTGTCCCTATGTGAATGTACTACCTAGTCAAAAATCAAACATTAAAATAATAAAATTAAAGAAGGTGATAATAAAAGCAAAGAGCAAAGTATATAAATAACATGATGGGACTAAAAGGAATAACAACATTCCTATCAAAATGAATTAAACCATGTGAAGAATTGTAAATACATTTGTTAACTGGTAAGCCTTGTTGAAACTGGGTGGTGGGTATCTAGGCTTTTTCTATTATTGTCTTTACCTCATTTTGGTACGAATAAAATATTTATCCCCTCCAAAAATAATTTATAAAAGACCCCTTTATTCTGTCAAAATAATCTGTTCTTAAGCCAAGGGGAAAATGTTTTTACAAAAATGGACACGATGGCAATCTGCATTAGCTGCTTATTACTTCCACTACCTGGTATGATTTCAATATTTACAAATGATTAGTCATTTTGATAAAATATGCATGGACATTCACACAATACTGTACAATGTGCTACCTGTAGTAAGTAACACGGAAAGCAGATATCTGTCCTCAAGTTTGTGTCCCTAAGCCCTGAAAACAATGCTAGAGGTGTGGTGCCTTTCCACTTTTGAAAAAACTTTAACCAATGTCCTCTGTTTTCCTGAGATTTTCTTCTTCACACACTTTGTAAATTAAATCAACATCAAGCCCAGACTGGACTGAGTTGTCTGCCCTGGTTGACTGGGGCCTGCAGGGTGACCTCAGCCAATTTGTAGTCCCATGAGAAACCTGTAAAGCCTGGGCAGGCTGCATGCCAGCCACCAGGGCATGGGATGCTCTGGAGTTTGGCTCCAAATTTCAGGGGTATTTTGGACTCTTGTTACATCATTAAAAGGAAATCCTCAGTCAGATAGAGAGCTAAGGCTATAAATAGGCGGAATGCTCTCAATGTCTTAGGCTCACTTAACACTATACATGTCTCACCGAAATCTATGGTTCTGGATTCTCTTTTGGGAGGTTATTTCATAAGTGATTTTAGGTTTGGTAATTTGGGTGTGGGATTTAACTAAGCAAACTCTCCCTCTGCATCTACCTACGGGTCAGCAGAGATGCAGCACAGTAAAACAGCCAGAAAACATGACTACTCTTACTATCTCAATTCATGACCATTTGATACAACCCGGTGTCAGAGACCATCAAGTGCCCCTTACACACATGATCTCCAATTCTGACAATAACCCACCAAGGCTGTTGCTATTGGTTCCATTTTACAAATGAGAACAACTCAGGCTTAGAGAGTTTAAGTATGAAGCAAATTGCTTAAAGCCATACAGGCCATTTATGTTAAAACCAGTTTTTAAATCCACATGTTTGATTCTGAAAGTCATGTTTTTTCTACTATAGCATGTGACCCCTGATATAACTTTTAGCTGTAGTAGTTTGAACATTATGAAATTCATTATACTAATGATGACAGACCACACATACTAGTTTGTGCGTGGGCATATTTAAGGTCATTTATAAAGACTGTCACCCAAAAAACTTTGCTTTGGAATGCAGAGCTATTAAAAAGATTCACATTACATTTTCTTACATGTAAAAGAGGAATTTTAAAAAATCAAACAAATCATAATCCCAAAGAAACACATAAATCTTACCACCTTCTTCAGGTTTCATGTCTAATAGTTCATCTATGGGTCCTTTAGAGAGGAGGAAAGAAAACAAAATGAGTCAGTTTCCTTTGGTGAGGAGTTTGAGTCAAATAATTAAAATTGAGTAGTTTTCCTTAATCTAGATTACCTGAGCATGCAGTATGTGTGGAGCTTTTGTCTAAGGCAGATAAAATACTTTTTCCATCTTCAGCTGTAATATAACATGTGCAACTGGTTACCAACAACTCGAAATGGTGTGCATGTTCATACACTGTTGCAGTGTAAGGTAAATGTACAGCTTCAGGAAGCAATGGGATCTAAAAAGTCACTCAGGCAGAAGTAGGGGCCCTCAGATTACATTGGACTCCTGCTACTGGCCCTCACAGAATACTGAATTAGTAGCACTGAATCTTTGCTTTGTTTGGTAGATAACCTGAAAATTACATGACATCAATCTAGTAATTCTCCTTCCATGGACAAGTGTATGACTTAAGTAATTGACTATTACTTGATGATGCTAATGAACTTCAGCCATATGGGGCTGGCTAAAATAAAAAGATTATTAAGTGAAAGAAGTCAACCTGAAAAGGCTACACATTGTATCATTCCAATTATATGACATTCTGGAAAAGACCCAACTATGAAGACAGTAAAAAGATCAGTGTTTGCCAAGGGTTTGAGGAGACGGAGGGATGAATAGGTGGAGCACAGTGGGGTTTCAGGGCAGTGAAACTGTTTTGTATGGTCCTGTAACGGTAGATACATACCCTTATACATTTATAATACCTACAGAATGTATAACACCAAGAGTGAACTCTAATGTAAACTAGGGACTTTTGGTGATATTGATGTCAATGTAGGTTTACTGACTATAACAAATATACCATCTGGTATAGGATGTTAATAGTGGGAAAGGCTAAGTATATGTTGGGAAAAGGGGTATATGGGAAATCTCTGTACTTTGAGCCCAATTTTGCTGTGAACCAAAAACTATTCTAAACAATAAAGTGTGTCTGTGTGTATGTGTTTGTGATAGAACAGCCTTAAAACTTGATTTGCTCATATGTTCATTAGCCTTCCTGCAGGTCCCAGAATAAAAGAAATATGATACATCATCACAATGGATTTTCTTCTGTGCATATATAAAACAAGATGATCGATATTTACAATCTCAAAATATGGAAATACCACAAGCAATTTTATGCACAAGGAAAGAGGGAAAATTTGATTCCCCTGCATTGTCACATATTGTATGAATATATAATTTATAGAGATTTATAACTTGCATACAAATATAATTAACTGCAGTTTATGTTTTTCCACAGAATCCATGTTTTCCTATCCAATTATCTTGACTCTGACAACATTAGTGATTCGTGCTGTGGGTACATTGAGGCTGGAGGGCTCAGATCCATACAGAGAGAAAGCTCTTCTGTGGCCAACGAGAGCAGGCCCAGCTGCTCCCTTTCTCCTTCTGCCCCTCACTCCCCTTCACACTCTGGAGCATGGTTTCTCTTTCTCCAGGTCCTCCCGGGCCCATAACCTTTGCTCAGGCTGTTTCTTCTGCTTTGATGAGTCTTGCCATGACACTTGGCTTGGCTAGTTCCCCGATCTCCTCAAAAAGTTGTGTCTTCCCCATCACACGTCCCAAAGCCCTGCACCTCTCCCTTGGAGCTCCCACCAAAGTTGGAGCTGCTGGATTACTTGTGTAACGATTAGATTGCCATCTGCTTCCCCTTTTGATGGTTAGCCCCATCCTGGAAGGGACTGACTATGTCTTATGCACCACTGTATGCCCAGAGCCCAGCACCATGCCTGGCACAGAGGCAACTCAATAAACATCTATTGAACAAATGAACAAGTGCATGAGTACTTGCAGTAAATGTGTACATGCATGAATGGATGACATGAAGCAAGCATTAGAGGCAAAAAAGTGAGCCTTTTGTTGTTGTTGTTGAAAGGCAGATAGGAGAAAAGCAACTAGGAGGAGAAGCAAGTGGGAGGAAGGGCAGAAGGAAGACAGAGGGAAGGAGAAGAATGGAGTAGAGGGGAAGTTCTAGAATCTGTTTTGCCTCCTCCTATCTTCCAGAAAGGTGCCATAGCAGAGGGCCAGGCAGGAAGAGGTGGCTATGTCCCCAGCGGGCCCAGGCTAAACAGTGTTGGGGTAATTTTAGTTCTCCTCATTAACACCTGTGAAACATTCCCCCGCATCTCCGAGGAGCCTAAGTGCCAGTGAAGTGCTTGGCATGGCTTCACATTGGTTCTACCACAATCTATCAAATCCTCTACCCCTCTGTGAGGTGAAGGACCAATGAAAAAACTGGCAGTAACAGCAGGAGACAGAAATAAATAGCTGAGGAGCCTGGACAGCACACTGTGCCACCTCTCAGTGCTCTGGCCCCTTCCCCTAACACATCAGGTTCAGCTCACCTGAGGGATCTGGGGTTGCTCAGCACTGGCAGGCTGAGGCATCAGCTGGCAGGGCAGAGTGAACAGTTCCCATCTGTTTCCAACATCGACAAACACCCTCCCCACACGTACTGCAAATCCATCTCTCCTCAGGTCGCAGCCTCATCTTAATAAAACTACAACTAGTCAGGGCCACAGCAGAAATCTTATAATCCGCTGTGAAAAGAAACAGTGATTTGCCAGTTCCCATTGTGGCTGCCCCTCTGAAGAGCTGCTGCTGACGCGACTGTGATGTGATTTTCTGGTTCACAATACACAGCTTCTCTCAGTAACCCTGTAGGGTTGACATCGTGGATATGTGAACATTTAGAACTGAGTCTACAGGAAGCCAATTAGCCTTTTCTCAGCTGAAAAAGAACAGGGCCTAGGAGGAGTTAGCCAAAAAGGAAAATGACTTTGAAAAAGAACAGGGCCCAGGAGGAGTTAGCCAAAAAGGAAAATGACTTTGCTGTTGAGCATTAAGTAATATTTCAGAAGCAATTCTAAATAAAAATGAAAACTTACTCTTAAAACTAGAGGATTCCTTGCGCTGGTTTTCTTCCTCTAATGAAATTAATCTTAAAATAAAAAAGAAGTTTAGTCATCAAGTTCTACCAATGTTCTATTTATGATACAGTCAGATTTTTCAGTACAATATTACTTCACTTATAACACAAATACATACACTACACACACACACACACACACACACACATACACAAAGAAGGATCAACGATGGATAGTCATTTACACGCCAATTTGCTGGCTTTGTTCCTTTCTGTAGCTCTTAATATCTGAATTTACTTCTATCACAAGGCAAATATTCTGTAAATATTTAGATGGGCGGTTAGATAAATAAGATAGATGCATATAGTTATCACCTTAAAAATAGCAAAAGTGGATAGTAAAAAAACTGTAAAAAATCCATCAGAATCTATTTCTTCTGATTCCTGGTGTTGGCGGAGAGGACACCTCCATAGGTTAGCTCGGCTACAGCGGCTGGACCACTCGCAAATCCAGGCTGACCATCTCCTACTCAGCTCTCACCACGTTTTTAAAGACAAAGACACATCGCTGCCCTGAGACTCACTCGCTGCCTCTGAACCTTCCTCCTAGCACCGTGATGCGCCTTCACCTGCTATTTCTAAACAAAATTCATGTTCAATGTTCATTGTCATTTTAAATAGTTACTGGGTTATACTTTTTGAGCTTTTAAAAGTGAAGCAATAAAGCATTTGAGAAATCTGAATTAATTAAAACAAATCAAGAAAATCCCAGGTAATCCCCTTCTAATTACAGGTGAATGCTTTATTTAGAGTGTATGAACTTATATGGTGAAAAGAAGGTGCAGGGACCCACTCCAGGCCTCACCTCTTACTACATAAGAGTATGTGGGCAGGCCCTTAACCTTCTGGAGCCTTTCTTCCGTCTTTTACACGATGAAAAAAATGCCAGCCTTGACGTCACCGAAGGTTGTCTTAAGATGGAGTTAACATAAATTACACACCTAGCGTTGTACATGGTTCATAGCACGTGCTCACCAAATGACAGCTAGCAATATTACCATCACCAGGAATGGGTTGAAATTGTTCACCACACAATAGCCAGTTTTACTATATTCAGATCACATTCTACAATCTGTCCTTCCGTGAAAACTTGTCTTCATTCTGCATCAAAAAAATGTATCTAGTACATATATGCTTTAAGATTTTAAAAGGCCAATATTGGCAGTAAATATTTCTGTGGGACAAAAAATAAATCTGAAAGTTTATTTAGAAATATAATAAAAATATAAGCCAGTTTTACCAGAAGATTGTCATCTAAACTTTTTGGTGTGTGGAAAGGAGTAGAGCAGAGAAGCAAAGCCATCTCTTGTTTTCCTAGCTCAGCCAGTTCAAAGATTAACTGCATTCCTGCAAACTACGACATCTCCATAGAAAATGATATATATTCACATTTAAACCTCCTTCTGGCTGTATGAGAATAGGAACCATGCACTACGTATGATGGAAATAGTTCATCTTGGTATTTAAAATGACAAGAGGCACCTTCTTTATAAAAGGGCATGAAATGGGGATGGAGCAGTCATTTCCCATACTCCAAGCTGTTCTCTGTTTCACAGAGAAGAGACAACCTGCGTGGTAGAAAACACAATGCCAATATCCAATACTTTCATATGATGATGCCTTAGTATGCGTGTGTCACCAGGGCAATTTCATAGGTAAACTCCTTCAATAAGAGAAAAGCTAGGGCATTTCCTATTTAGAAGAGCATCTAGTGTTGACAAAAGATAAGATAGGGTCCAGAAACCAGAGAAAGTGCAAAGCTCAGGCTCAGGCCACAGGCAGAGAGCCAGGGAGTGCTGGGGACATTTGCCCTGTCTTGCTCCAGTCAGCTCCTCACAAGTGCGCCCTTCTAAGTGCCCTAGAAAGGGATCTCTTACTGGGATACATGAGTCATGACGTAGCAGGGATGTGTGTTAAAGGGGTTTGGCTGGAATGCTAATACATCTACGCTGAGAAGTGAGGAAGTAAGACAACGAGTCTGCATCTGAGGCCCAGCCAGGCTCGGTCAGTGAGAACCATGTCACTCTCACCTGTGGGAAGAAAGATGCAAAGGGGGAAAAAAAAAACCGTGACTTACTGATTCGGCTCCTGCATAGCTATGTCTGTACTTTCCTGCTGGGTGATTTTCTTCTTCTCTTCTTTCTCAACTAATTTTTTCATAGGGTCTTGTAAGCTCTTGATCACAAGCCATAGAAAAATGAAAAAAATAAAAACAAATAAAAAAGAAGAGGAAATAGAGACAAAAAGAAAAGAAAGGTTATCAATAAAAAATTCAACGGCCACTGGTCCCAGCAACCAAACTTCGAATTACAGGTATTGGGAGGTGACCTTGAACCAATCAGCTGGATAGAAATGAAATTTTATATGGCAAACAACAATGTTCTCAACCCATCCAAGAAATACTAGCATATATAGCAGAGCTGATTCGCCACTAGATTTATGTTTTCTCTTTTGTGATAAGTTATTCAAACATGGCCTTTTGGCTATTGCTAATTTTATTTTTCAACTTCAACATGAAGTTAAGATAAACGTTCTATTCTGTTTGCAGCCCACACACTGACAAAATAGAAGCTCCTCCCACCTCCACCAAAGATGAGACAATTTCATTTTATTTTTAATTTTATTTGCTATTTTGTAATCTAAAACCCATTTAAAAAAATAACAGAAAACAAAACCTTTTCTTAAAAAGAACAAAAATAGTGGCTTAACATAATCTGACAACCTAACTCCCACAAGTAGACAGAGCAGGTGCATCCAAATCTTTGTAGATTAAAGTGGGTGAGAGTCTTTTTTTGGCATATCATTTGTTGGAGTTACTGTTTTCAAGGTTTATTAAATATTTAAAGTTTTTTTTTTTTTTAGAGCAAGTGCCCAGAAACTGCATACCAGTGACAATGACCCTGAAAGAAAAAGCAAAACGTTTCTAGAGCTGAATAATGAGTTATACAAAAAGATTTCTATTTCTGGTCCTAATTAAAATACAAACCTACAAATACAAAAGAAACATCTCAGGATAATTATCCTTCTTGTATTCTCAGAACTACTAAAATCCGAGTCATGAGCCTTGGGCCTGCCCTTCTCCTGCCTCTCCTTCACTTGTCTGACACACAGGAGGCAATCAGGTTTCACGGCGGACTCTGATTGATTAGTAATGGCTGACTGGAGGGCCAGTGAAGATAGTTCTAAGGCTGCGTCTCGGCAGAGCAGACCTGTGATTGATTTTGGTGTCTGCCATGGACACCAGATGGATACTGCCAGCTCTTTTCTCTCCCTTCAAAGAGTAATTTTCCTAAAATACCCACGCCATCGTGTTATCCTTCTTTTCAAGAATCTTACTTCTTGAGAAGAAGGAACAGTGTATTTATTTGTTATAAAAACTTCCTAATTTCTTTCCACTTCTAACATCAACCTCTCTGCCCAATTTTGAAGATCTTCTAAAATGTGACCCTATCCTAACTTCCCCGACTGGCTTCCTGCCATCCCCCAAACATGAGCTTTCTTTCAATTAGGATGGTCTCCTCACAGTCTCCCATGTGCTAGTTTCTTCCTTCCTATCTGTGTTCATTCTGCTTCTTTATCCTAAAATGCTCTATTTGTCTACCCTCATTAATCCCGTGCATGTATCTTCAAAGCCAGATCAATCCCCAGTATTTTCTATAAAGCTTCACTAAGCATGCCAGATTCAGGACAGTCTTTCCATACCCAAAGCGCATTTCCATTTTATTAATATTGGATCATATTTATCCTGTATTATGTTTTGTCTCTTTTAAATATTTCCTAAATTAGAAACATAATAGAACCACATGCAGCAAGTATGATAAAGTAAAAATTACTTATAATTCCATATCCTTAAAATGATTATTTTCATATATTTTCTGTTGTTTTTATACTCACACTACTTGTATAATTGGAATTACTGTATAAATATGCATATTTTATATACATATACATATATATTTATATATATAGAGAGAGACAGATGTTCTTTTACACAATATAACTTGTGTAGATATTTCACAATTTTAAAAAAGCTTATTAGACTGGAGAATATAAAAAGACTTTATATACCTTAAACATTTAATATTAAAACAGAAATATAAAAGTGTGCATTCCTTCTAATGTAGGACCCAGGTGTTCTCTGAGTATATGTATCCTGATTGGAGTTCTGAAGCATTTTCTTGCATAAAGCACATTCGTAAGGCACTGACATCATTTTGAATTTCTGGACATTCAGATTAGTTCATTCAGTTAACAAACAGTTTTTGAGCACTACCCAATGCCAGGTGCTATTTGGGGTGCTTTGGATATGCCGGTGAACACAACAGATAAAATTATTAGCTAGCGATGGGTTTAGGCAGATAATTAAAACAGAGGGACAGAAAGTGATTGGGTTATTACTCCAGTAAGCAGGATATCTTCTCTTGGAAGTGACATTTCAACTGAGAGCTAAATGACAAGAAGGAGCCAGCCCTGTGCAGCTCAGGGAGAAGAGAGAGCTCTGCGTCAATGGCTCAAAGGTAGGAATAGCTTGGCTTGTCTGAGGAACAAAAAGAATGCCACTGGGGCTGCCATATAGTTGGCAAGGGTACAAGTCTCATGAGATTGGGATAAAGAGGTCAGCAGGGATCACATGGGGAGAACATTCCTTTACCCAGGTTCATCAATATTTAACATTTTGCCCCATTTTGTTCCACCATCATCGTTTTCTCTTTCTGTCTCCCTAATGCATGACAACTAAATGCAATACATGATCTTGGCTGCAGCAGGCACTGGAGGGAAAGTGACACAAAGGGCAGTGTCAGGACAAATGAGACAACTGGAGTATGGACTGCAGTCTGGGTGTCCTTGATTTTTTTATATGCTCCAAACTTCTAGTAAAACCCAGTGTGTGTGTGTGTGGGTGTGTGGGTGCGCGCGCGTGTGTGTTTTAGTATATGTGCAGCCAGAAGGAGTTCATTAGATGTCAAGGATGTATTCTTTTCAATCTATCTGCCAACTACAGCATTTAATTCATGTACACACACACACACTCACACGACTTTCAGTAGTTTTATTCCCTGACAAAATGGTCCAACTCTGGTCAAAGTGAAGGCACGAATATTTTCAGCCAAGGTTCTGATGGCTCCCAAGACTCACTTTTAAATTCTGTGACACTTGTCCAGGCCTCCTGGTTTGCTCAATTATCTTCTCATTGTGTTTCCCTTTTATCAATCAACGCTAGGCAGGGCCAGGACATGTCTGCTCTCAGCCGGCTGTGTCTAGCTGCCACAGTGCTTGCCTAAACCCCTGAGATGCCCTTGACAGCTCCACGGTTATCATCCTTTCTGTCTCCAGCCTGACCTCCCTCATAACCACACTTGAGCAGCTCTCAGACAATCCTTTTGTAATGTAAACCACTCACTCCTTCTTTTCAACCCTTCCCCTGTTGGCCCATTAGCAGGGACTCAATAGTTGGCTCCCTGTCACCACAATCACAGTTAAGTCACTATTGTGCTTCTCCCATCAGAATGGCTATAGTTCCAGCTGCTATTTTAAATTATTATTAATAATTCCTGTGGCAATTGCTCCTCTCTTCCTACTATTACCATTATTCCTGTAATGATTTGGTTGTTGCAGCTCAAGAAAGGTACTAAATATGTACTTGTTGATTGATAAATGCATGTACACAAGGTTACACTAAAAAATACCACAGCTCCTTAGCTAGGAAATTCAAAGGCTCAGGGGAGTAATTTGAAAAGGTTTATAGAACCACGAGCAAAACTAAAACTGAGCACATGGGCTTCTTTATTAAATATTAGAATTTTGAACCAAGAGGAACCTTGTGTGTACACACACACACACACACACACACACAACCAGCTTAACTGAGATATAATTTAAGATAAAATTCAACCATTTTTAGAATTCACCATACTATTCAATGGTTTGTAGTACACAGCAAGTAGCTCTTCGAAAAATGTCATTTTGTATAATGTTGATGAGAAAAAAAAATGGATTTCCTGGCCCAGGGCTACTGTCAGGGTGGAGTTTACACATTCTGCCCAAGTCTGAGTGGGTTTTCTCCTGACTCCACTCCAGCTTCCTCCCATATCCCAAAGCCACACAAGTCAGGTGAATGTATGATTCTACATGGTCCCAGTGTGGGTGAGTGTGGAGGTGTGTGTTGGTGTGCCTTGCTACGGGGTAGTGGTCCTTTCTAGGACTGGTTCCCATCCTGTGCCCTGAGCTGCTGGGATGCTGGGATAGCCTCCCGCCATCCACACCCTGAACTGGAATAAGCAGGTTGGAAAATGAACAAATGAATAAATAAAACTAATCATAAAAATTATTCAAATATATAATCATGCAAAGGCATACAATAAACAATGTGACCGAAAAGCACCCAGTGAGCCCACTGTATTTGTGTTGTGATTTAACTGCAAGGTGGTAGGAGGCACCTTAGAATTTTCGCTTCGCCAACGCTTATTCCTTAATTTAACCCACTACCACTCTGAGTCCCCATCATTCACTGATCCACCAAAAATTGGGTAAAGAATTATCTCACTTTTAAAAAAAAACTTTCTTAAATGTACATACAATTTAGATTTATTTCAATGTTTAATATCAGAAGTGTTTTGATCTTTATTTAGAAGTTTGGTGATGTTTTTGTGACTATAAATTGTCTTAAGAACTTAACTCTTGCTTGTATAATTAGCCTATGGTAAAATTGATTTCATTACACATTGTTTTGCTTAAAGTTGCAGTTTCCCAAGAACGGACTGATGACACTAAGTGAGGACTTACTGTATTCACAGAGTTGTACAACCTTCGCCACAATCAATTTCAGGACATTTTCAAGGGACATCACCAAGACAGAATTTTTAGACCAAACTAAGCTAAATACTCTTCGATACAGCAAGGAAAACACCAATAACACATAGGGAAATTGTTTCTTACAAAAGATGGTATACACTGAAGCTATAAAGAGGCTAAGGGGAACATTAAAAGATCATGGAGGAAAAATCATAATCCCCTTCATCTCCCCAAATTAGTTCCTGGGTGTGACTGTCAGATACAGGATATTCTATAGACTGCTCTCTCTGAGGTTTGATCACAGGGGCTCAACTAGGGGTAGAAGATAGAGGTAAATTCTTCAAATTATTTTGAAGTCCACAACTCAGCTGAAATGCTTAACC